TGTGTGTGTGTGTGTGTGTGTGTGTGTGTTGAATCCTCACCCACGGATGTTTTTCTTTTTTACCATCCCCTGACTTCCCTTTCAGATTCTGCACTCAGTTCCATGCTTCCATGTCTCTGGATCCACTTCATTCATCGGTTTATTTGATTAGATTCCACATATGAGTGAGATCAAGTGATACTTGTCATTCTCTGACTGACTTATTTCACTTAGCATGATGCTCTCCAGGTCCCTGCATGCTGTCTGAAAGGGTAAGAGATTCTTCTTTTTTACCACTGCATAGTATTCCATGGTATAAATGTACCACAGCTTTTTTTTATCTACTCATCTACTGATGGGCACTGGGGCTGTTTGCAGATCTTTGCTATTGTAAATTGTGCTTCTGTGAACATAGGGGTGCATATATCCTATCTGATTGTTTCATGTTTCTTAGGATTTATTCTTAGAAGTGGAATCACTGGGTCAAATGGCAGTTCCATATTAAATTTTGCGAAAACTCCATACTGATTTTCCATAATGGCTGCACCAGTTTGCATTCCCTCCAGCAGTGTACTAGGGTTCCCTTTTTTCCACATCCTCCCCAGCACTTGTCATTTGTTGATTTGTTGATTGCAGCTATTTTGAAAGTTGGGAGGTGGTCTCTAATTGTTGCTTTAATTTGCATCTCTCTGATGATCAGTCACTTTGAGCACTTTTTACATGTCTCTTGGCCATCTTATCCACACTGCAGCCCAGGCAGAGCTGACACTTCTGGTGGCATCAGAAGCAGATGCTCTTAAGTATGAGCGTCTGTTTTGTGACATAAACTTTGTACAATGGATTCAATGGAGGCAGGTTAAGGCAGTTAGAGACTTGAACAACCTCCTCCAGATACATATGGCCTGAGGGAGACACATGCCAAAAGTCATGAATGAAGAAATAACGCCTGCCAGTCAGAAAGAGCAAGTCCTGAACAAAAATATGCAAAACTCACAGCTAAAGGAAGCTGTGCAGGTGCAGGAGAAACAAACTTGTCCTGGAAATCAGGTCCCTTGAAGGCGCTAGAGGACCCTTAGTGTACTTGGTGTGTTCTTGGGCTATTTGCCCCTAAATCCAGTCCTACAATCAACTAAGAAATACTGGATCCTGGCCTTGGAGCTTAGAAACTACATTACCCAGAAGGCCATGCATGGCGTGGCATCAAGCTGAGCCAATTGCGGGTCAGAGAAGGCATTTCCCTTTCGCAGCTTCTGTAGGGCGGGGCCGGTAGTCCTTGTGGCGAGATTTTGTCTTCTCAGATTTCTGTCTCAGGCGGTGAGGTTTTCCGTGTCCGCA